ACTTCAACAACACGTCTCTCTCTGACTGCAGTTCAATTACTCATTACCTACACACACTGTCCCGTCACGTTGTGACCATCTTATATATATACCAGACTACCACTAATCTAGTAATCTCCAGATAATTCCCGAAGGTTCGAGAGAAGGAGTGGCGTAATACTAGTCACGTGACCTCGCTGACGCGACAATATACTCAATAGCCCTGTGGAGAAACAAAGAGTTAACTCAAGTGGTGTAGAGAGTGCTGTAATTTAGCAAAAAACGCATCACGATCAATATACAACACTTACAAATTATATAAGTATTTTGAAACAAATAGTAAATATATCCAAAAGGTTAATTTCTTTATTCCATAAACACGCCAGTCCGAGGAGGAAACACGAGGAGTAGTTTACATGTTATAGTTTAGGCTTAGCGAAAGGGTGTCAGACACCAAAGGTTTTGAAAATCAGTTAAACAAATGTAAACATATAATATATCAGATATAATAAAAAGCAAACTGTATCACGTGTTAAAGTAGTGTTGTGTTTTACTGAAAGCTTCGATATTAATATCATAGAAACATTGATATATTTCAAACAATAGTTCATTTGAAATTAATAGATAAGTTAGGTGAAGTATAATTTGTCCGTTATTAACGCATTAAATATTTTATCAAGCACTACTCCTTACTAAATTATGGAGTACGTTATAATAAATGTAAAATATCAACCATTACTCCTTACTAAATTATTTAGTACGTTATAATCAATGTAAAATATCAACCATTACTCCTTACTAAATTATTGAGGATGTTATAATCAATGTAAAATATCAACCATTACTCCTTAGTAAATTATTGAGTACGTTATACAACTGGTTTCTTTTTGTGCTGTGTCCGCCTAGTTTGGAATCGAACCCTAGATTTTAGTGTCATAAGTCTGTAAACTGGCCACTGACCCACCGAGAGACTTATAAAATTGTATACTAATAGGATACAATATTCTTAGAAATGGAACTATTTATAACATTTTATATGTTTCATACTACATCAAATGATTAATTCCAATATTGACCCCCAGGTGGCTAGGCAGTAAGTCTGATGGCTTATATAACGCTAAAAATCTGGTTTCGATACTTGTGGTGGGCAGAACACATAAAGCCCATTGTGTAGCTTCACGCTTAAACAGGAACAAGGATCCATCGGATTTTCATTTTCGTTCTTCTAAACTATTTTTGCACGAATGTGCTTGTGAGTCCATGACATTTTTGGTTACAGGGTTCCTAATAAGTTAGTGGTCAAACATAAAATTGTATGCAGAAATATTATGAAGACTGCAATTAATCTCATTAATTACCACTAGTACCACCTTCGTATTTTACAGAAAATAATCAACAACTTTACACAATGTTTACACTTGTGTTGAGTTTTGCAACAAGTAAAAATATTAAAATCACATAATTTCACAAATCATGTGGACCCAGTTGATACCGAGTAGTATAAAAACAAGTCGGTTATTTGAGGGTTAAAAGTTATATTAATTCTTTCGTGAATAAGACTGAACTTTGAAAATAGGTGAAATAAGAGTGTGTGAATACATTAAATAGCATTTTTTTCAGGTTAATATAACTAGCAGAAACACCACGGCTATTTATGCTAGTAATTACTAGTCGTAGTATTCATATCTCATTGAAAAAAAAAAAAAGGAGAAAATGTGAACATTTTCTAAAAATGATTTTTCTGGGAAGTACTGTGCGGGAAAAGTGTTCAGATTGTGCTGATATAAACTGTAATGTTTGTTTAAGAACTCCATTGTTAGTACTATATTTTCAAATTACATCAATGAAAATATAATCAAACCCTCACGTACAGTCCTAGTGAAAATCGTGTTCTTGTTGTGAGGAGAACACTTTTATTTAAAATTATATTCTGTGAGACAGAAATGGTTGTTGCACATACCGTAGTTATTTTTCTAAATGTCTAATCTTGAATACCCAAAGTGTGAATTTTTTAAAGGATTTGTGTTTGTAGTACTATTCAACAGATGGCGCTACATTAGTAAATATGTCGGAAAAGTTTTATCTGTGACGTCGTCGTGTCTTCTGAACTTTGCGGGATGACGACAATTAGGGCCTAATTTTGAAACTATATACTAGAGGGAAGACAAGCAATCAGCAGTAGCAACTGCCGGTTCTTAGGATATAATCTAATTGAATAGTGAGGTTTTACCGTCACTCGTATAACGTACGTACGTACGGCCACAAAGTGTGAAGCGGGATCTTGCAGCATGAGAAGGTGAACCACAGACCTTTGAATTCACAGTTCGTCACATTAAGATCTAGGCTACGCCCGGTCCGACTTGAATTAATGCTGTAATATTACTTTCAAATGGTCTACCAGGTGGGACAGCGGTAAGTTTATGAGCTTACGGACTCACAACGATAAAATCCGGGGTTTGACTTCCCGTGATGGACACAACAGATAGTTAGTGCGGCTTTTCTTTAAAACAAACTAACAAACATAATTTATGTAGTGTTCCTCAAGATTAAATGTCATTATCTTTGTGCAAAGCAAAACAAAGAGTTACCAGCACACACTTTGTCTACAGCGTTGGATTGGTCTTTGGGGCTTGGCATGATCAGGTGGTTAGGGTGCTCAACTCACAATCTGCGGGTCACGGGTTCGAATCCCCATCTCACCAAACAAGCTCACCCTTTACACTCGTCACACCAAAGATAAAACGAAAGCCATCATCAAGTAAAAGTACACAAAACATAAACACACAGTCACGAGAAATAAGAAACTTAAAACACTCACAGCCACCCCAAAACTCCATCATCATAGAAAGTGGCTCAAGAGCCTCAAATGGCAGAGGAAGTCAAACGTTGTAAACCTAACGTACAAATTTCCGCAATAAAACGTCTTGGTAAAGGCGAAGTATTAGTAAAAGGGACAAAGCTGATTGATTTAAACAGTCTCCTTAAACAGTAACCCCAGGATGCCTTTCAACCTGGACACACTCTACATATTCACCTGGAAACAAGCCAAAGGAAACAAGGCGTGCATTAAAGTATTGGCATTGAATAAACAGAAGAACTTACACAGAACAACATTAAACATACCAAAGTAAATCGCATTATTTCCAAGAAAACAGAAACATACACAAACATGATTAAAGAATACACAGATGAAACACAGGATGTTCAAAATTTAATATCAAATGGAATTACTCTTTGACATACCCCCAAGTGGCACAGCGGTATGTCTGCGGACTTACAATGCTAGAAACCGGGTTTCGATACCCGTGGTGGGCAGAGCACAGATAGCCCTTGTGCATCTTTGTGCACAATTAAACAAGCAAACAAACAAACTCTTTGACATTAAAGATTTGTAGTAGAGCAGTTAAAAACATCTGCTGTTGTCGTTACACAGTGTGTTAATTGTCAACGGTATGAAAATGTGGCAGCAGCTTTCAAATCGCTCTATTGATGTGTGGGATGTGGTGGAGTACATCACAACTCAACATGTCCTAGAGAATGCGACAAACCATACTGTTGCAACTATAAGCAACAGCACATAGCCAATTACAAAGGATGTCAAAACACGAATATATAGTATACAAAATAACAAACTCAACACAGAAACAAACATACAACAGTCAGAACAACCAGGCCCCCCAGTGGCACAGCGCTATGTCTGCGGACTTACAACGCTAGAAACAGATTGTGTAGCTTTGTGCTTAACTTCAAAGAAACAGAACAATCAATACAGTTACTACCCGCACCAACCACACAATCAATATCCACATACACATATGCAGCAGCCAAGTAAAGAAATGAGCTACTCAAACAAACAAAGGAACACAGCCACAAGAGAAAGAAATCACAAAAATACAAACGAACGCAAAACCGGATACAAATAACTCGCATATATCTAAAACACTAGTTAACTTGCATACAAATAGAGAAAACAATCCCGTCATAGAAGCTGTGACAGTAATTTATTAGTGAATATCAAAAGCCTCAAAAACACCAAGACATTACAGAACTTCTGCTCATCATAGCTAAAAAAACATTTCACAACAATTCATGAACACAGTTATAGCTTAAAATATAAAACAAATCTACCCAGGATTATTCAAACAATTAACAGTCCACCTAATACTAAATGTTACACTTCACCTAGATTTTGGATTTTGGGTATCTATGTGAAATATGCGTTTGATACCTTAACCTGGTGGCAAACTATCTGTGGACTATAAGGTAATCAAATTAAGTGAAGTGGCGAATAGCACTAAATGTTATAAGTACAACATTCATGGACATGGTCACAAAGAGGGAAGTTAAAATCGGTGTTCAGATGTTAGTGTTTTTGTTCTGACTTGTTGAATGCTCACATAGCATTTGTAAATAAAATGGAAATAGCAAAGGAGGGAGGAAGAGGTCGAATTGTATCTCCCCTCCCAGGTCGAGAAAATATCGACCAAATACCAATCCAGACCAGACAGGCACATTCTCTTTAAAACGTTCTTACAAAGCGTTTTTCTTATTAATTTTGTTTTGTTTATGATTATTTGTTTCAGGAATATTTTGAATAAATAGAATCTTGCTGATAATGCAATAAAGCGAACAATATCAGTTTTTTAAAAAGGTTAACATTCAGACAATTCACATTTAGTACTAAAACACAAAGCTTCTTTTAACCTTCTCAAAAGTTGGATTTGTTGGTATTGTTCGAAAGGCCTCTTGGGCAGTCACTTGTGAGAGACAAAAGATAGATCTGAAATGCTGTTTTCACACACTTTTCACTTTGAATCTGTAAGGGATGAATTAAGAGAAATGTTAAAAAAAACACAAAAAACATTTACAGTTAACGTGATTTTGTATCACAAATTTTGTGCCTGTTGATATGTTTTTGTACAAACTACAATACTGCGAGGATCATTGTTGAAATATTCTAGAAGCTAAGGAATAAAGAGGAATCATTATTTATTTGTTTTAATGCAAGATAAAATAATACCACCGAGTTCATTGTTGAAACGTTATGGCAGAAGCTAATAAATCAAGAGGAATCGGTGTTTACATGTTTTATTACAAGCAACAATACTGTTTGGATAATTGATGACATTTTATAATAGAAGCTAATGAACCAAGATGAATCATTACTGATATGTTTTAATACAAGCTACAATACAGCGAGAATCATTGTTAACATGATTTAATACAAGATAAAATACTACAGGACTCACGTTCAATTAAGACCAATGGGATTATTCACTGACATGCTAAAACAACAAATATAAGAATCCCAGGTTAACATTGGATCCTTATAAGTTAATAGAAGCCTTGCCACCAGTAAGATCAGTTAAAATAAGCTACAGCAACAGAAGAGTTATTAACCATGTTGTAAAACTATAGTTAATTTCAGTAACGTCATTTTAGTAATGGAAATGCATGCTCCAATACAAGTGAAACTTTTAGTGTTAATCGTTAAATAACAAACAACTGTGCAGGCTTAATATAAAACGTATTTCCGGATTAATATGTTACAATAAATATTCCAGCACCAAACCCTGTGTCCAATGATAGAAATCTCTCATAGCACCCAGCACACACATGCTGTCACTCTCCCTCAGGAGCTGGTGTCAGGCACCGTGTGACCACTCCGGCTCAAGAGCGATTGTTAGGTTTAGTTAGAGCATTAAAATGGTAAAATGTTTCGTCATGAGGTTATTAAGACACACGAATATGGCATTAAAACACTTAATAAAATACATTTTACAATTATACAGTGTATTTAAAACTTACATATTTTCAAAAAGCTTATTATTTACATTAATGTACAAACAAGTCAAAGTTGTTAATACTATTTTCATACTTTTGTGCTGAAACTAAAGTGGAAGGAATATATAAGTATTGTGTGTATGGTACCTAGTTTTGTCCTTGCTGCTTAAATAAAAGGATGTTGAGTTGCGTGTTTTCTCTCTGTAATATATGCGTATTCAATATATTACTAATGTAGGCAATCTCAGATAATTAGTGCTGCGTATATTTTATTTACTTAAGACTGACTCACAAAAATGGAAATTAGGTTTTGAATATGAGATCTTTATCGTCACGCATCTCACAAATTTTGGCAGGGCTCCGGCGCTATAAAATTTAGCACTTACCATTATCCTCTGCTGTATATCAAGCCTCAATAACTTCTCAGCTCCAACAGCTCTTCTAGCACCAGTACCAGTAGTTGTTATCACTGGTTTCAGGTTTTTCTGGAAACCATCTTACAGTAAATTAATTAATTAACAGGTACTTCTCGTGTAGAACTGGAGACCAAATGACTGGGTTTTGTTTACTGTTTAACACGAAGCCGCATAATGGGCTATCTGTGCTGCGCCCCCGCGGATATCGAAACTCCATTTTTAGCTTTATAAGTTATCAGAGTTATCGCTGAGCCACCGAAGGGAAATAATATTGGTACAAGAAAATTTCAAGATATTTGAATTAACCTAAAGTAGGGATTGTAATAAAATACTTTAATCACAAAGACACAGAGCTTTTCTCTTACACTCTGAGAGTTTGATTATGAAATATACTTAATTTCGGGTGTAAACTAAGTATAAATAACATATTTTTACATACATATTTTTAGTTTTTGAAGTGTTAGAACTGAACTTCAAGTTCAGGTGCCTTTAGCGGTGCTCCGGCAACATTTTACCCATCGTAGAGGGGTTAAGATAACTTAACTCTTTCAACAACTCTCCCAATGTCAGGTTTGTTTTAAGACATACAATAAAAAAGACAAGTTTTAATATTTCATTATTACCTGAAACTCGAAGCTGGTGAACTTTGGGAAGTTTGAAAGGGAATACCCTTTCTTCATGGTGGTGGAAAACTCCAAACTCACATGTGACTAAAGTGCTCGAGAGGGTGACGCATGTGTGCCAGTGACAGTGAATGAATTACATAGCAAAATATTTATTTTTGGGACAAAGATAATCTATCCTCTAGCAATAAGCAAATCAAATTGTTATTAAATTTAGTTAAAGGTTTTAAGATGAAAATAAATATAATGTGGAGACAGAGAAACTGTAGCGCAATGTCCATCGTGGGAATCAAATGGCAAATCTTAGCCTTATAAGTCGTCAAACTTTCCGTTGAGCCACTGTTGATTAAATTATTTTTTCTGTTGTAATATACTTTTTCCAGTTCATTAAAATTCGCTCCAAGTAGTTATTATTGTTTGTAATTTAGCACAAAGCTACACAAAGGGCTATCTGTGCTCTGCCCACCACGGTTATTTCGCTTGTACGTGTATTAAAAAACTGCTAAAAGTGGGCAAATACAATATATTTTCCAGTTTTAACTTACTGTTGACGGCAATGTTACATATTTAGTATTTTCCAGTTTTAACTTATTGTTGACGACAATGTTACATATTTAGTATTTTCCAGTTTTAACTTATTGTTGACGACAATGTTACATATCTAGTTTTGGAAAAAAAAAAACTTAGGTGGTTTTAAAAAAATACTTCCATACAAAACCCTTGTCTTTTACACAACTTTTAATTATATATATACATATATATTTAAAGCTTCAAAATTATTTGTAATCATTAGAAAATAAACCAAGTTGATCATTGTTTAGTTCAATGGTCAACAACCTCAGTTACTGCTACATCTCCGATGTTGTGAACCAATGTTCAGAACATCTCAGATTCAGGATAACAGACGAACTGAAATCAAAATAAAAAATTATAAAACAAGCAGAACTTCCAAACACATCACACGAGTGTCCTCCCGACGATCTCGTGGCGTCTTGATACTTCTAGCTAACTACACTTATTACAATCTTTTAGATTACTGAACATCTATGACAATACATTTAAATTTCTGACAAAGAAGATAAACAACATTTAGCATAATCTCCAGACATTATATTAAAGATGTTCCAAGGAATTCACACCTAACTTTATGAATATTAGTGGGAATCAACCACAAAAAACACACGAATTAGCGTAAAATATTCACGTTCCACTGCAGGGTTAAATGCAGTGTTTCCTCCTAGCTGCGTGACCGCAGAACAACCAATCAAATGCCGCGCACTTCATTATTCCAGCCGCGCACATCCTCAGTAATGGTGAGGAGTCTCAACACGTTGACGGCCTTAATGACCCTGGCAGTCGATAGGCCGAAATCTCAAGTAACCAACTGGTAGCATTGCAAAGCGGTCTAGTGATCCAATAGGGTCGATGGTCTAAAAATACCACCACCCCCCTAATAAAAAAAACTGGACACCCGCACATTGCCTCGATGCTGGTGCACATGAAAAAAATCATTCCGCCTTGGTTAAAAGGCCCCTTCATGTTTCACAGAGGCCCCAGGGGATCAAACTCCTCCATTATCTCCAATTGTACCTACAGGTACCTCCTACACACTTTAACCTACATCCAGTTACATGAAAATCATATGATACAGTGGAACCTGTAGCTAACTGCATGGATATCAGCTGATACAGTGGAACCTGTAGCTAACTGTATGAAAATCATATGATACAGTGGAACCTGTAGCTAACTGTATGAAATCATGTTACACAGT